CTGGGATTATAGGCATGAGTCACTGCACCTGGCCTTTTTGGAATTTCTGATTCCTCCCTTTTCAGGTTGGGGAAAAGGCAGAAACAGGAGTTGGAGAATTTCAGTGTGTCCCCAAGAAGAGAGACACCTCGAGTTTGGGGAGTGGTATGAGTAAGTGTGTGCAAACATCAGTTCCAATATTTTGTTATAGGGATGGAGCTCCAACTGCAGGCAGGCCCTGTGCTGCATATGGGATCATATTCAATCCTTAGACACTGGTACTACTTTTACTGCCACTGATGAAATTCTGAAAGGCATGAGGTAATTACAATCCCATAACAAAAAGCAGCAGAGCTGGGACTGAGGCAGAATTATGGCTATACAGTTCCGTCATTTAACCTTCTTTGGTTATGCTAATTGGAACAAACAGATTCACTCAACAATTGTTATTGAGGACTTACTATGTGCTCAGCACTGCTCTAGATGTTGGACTGGTCTGACTGGATTAATAACACCTTGCTGGCACCCAAATGTCTAACTAAAGCACCCTGGGCTGGATGCATCATGACCCACACCTAAGTGATATTGTAAAGATCTATCACCTCTATTCCACAGAGGTGAGCTTATACAGCAGAAGCCAGTGATGTCAAAATTATACCTGTCACCCTAGAAATAAAGCCTGGCAGAAATGTGATAAATGCTAGCTGCAAGGTCTGAGTGGTGAGATGAAAGGTGACTTTCCATTTCTCTTCATGCACACCTGGGTGTCCTAAAACAGGTTACTTATGTAATGACTAAATTAACTCGAAAACAAAATGAGGGCCGGGCATGGAGGTACATGGCTGTAATGCCAGTTACTCAGGAAGGGAAACAGAAGGATCATGTTCTAAAGCCAATCCAGGCAAAGTTAGTGTCAGGAAGCATTAATTACATTAACAAAATTAGTGTCTGAAACATTAATTAAAAGCAAAAGGGCTGGAGGTGTGGCTCAAGAGGTAGGGCACTTGCCTGGTAAGTCCCCAGTACTGGCCGAAAAGAAAGAGGAAGGGAGGGAGGGAGAGAGAAGAAGAGAGGAGGGAAGGAGAGAGAGGAACAGAGGAGAGAGGGAGACAGGGAGAGAGGGAGACAGGGAGAGAGCGAGAGGAAATCTTGCTGGGGAAAAGTGAGAGATATGCTGAAAAGGGGTGGTTAATACGGCCCAGGAGAGGACAAGGAGCCAGAAGATGAAAGGCCTTGAACCCTAGGCTAAGAATGGAGATTTTGATCATAGCTCAGTGATGGTAAAATAAAAGGAAACAACTGTGAGCCCTGGGGAGCTCAAGAAATCAGCCAGAAGCCAACATCATGGCATGTCAAGCTTTAGGACACATAGTAGTTCCCGAGCTCACTGTCCTGTGAAGCAGGGATGCCAGGTACGGGTGCTCAGGTTGTGTGAAACAAAAGGGTGCCACATCTGAGGGAACACAGTTCACTTGTTAACACCTTCATTACTTTGACTTTCTTTTCCTTTAAATTTGCAGTGTATGTGTATGTTACAACAAAGATTCCAGCAGATGGCCAAAACATTTCTTGTTCTAACAAAATCAGCCCATTACAACAACTTTTAGTTGGTAACACAGTGTCTTGCTTACAAAGTTGACACAGCTCATTCCCCTCAGGATTTCCAAGGGGAAACCAGTGGGCTAACTGACCCTTATCAGTCTATTGACATCCAACATAAACCATGCTTCTGAGTATGTTCCTTATCTGTTAGTATCCTGGCTACGTACTGCAAGCCTCCCACAGTAACATTATTGCTGCTTCTCGATTTCCGTTTAATACCTACCTCGTGATGACGTGAATTGCTATATAATTACTCATAGCCATTCACGCTCAGCAACACATAAAACAGAATGTTACATTGCCTGTATCACTTTTGTCTGTAACGAAATCTTTGTCAGTGTGCAGATTAAATGCTGTTAAAAATGTTGTGGTTTTTACAAGCAAAATGTTTTTAAATGTTCAATCTCAAACTCAGTGGTCCTTTCCAAAGAAAATGAGAGCCAGGAGCAAGAAGATTGGAACTGTCATAAAGAGTACAGTTTCGAAGAAAGCAAAGCATGTAATTATTTAAAATAAATGATTGTATTTTGGAGAATCTTCCGCTCAATGGTAAGGCTCATACAATGTACACAGAATAGTTTTGTATTTGCTGGTTGTTCTTACTGAGAAATACATGTGGAATTGTTTCTCTTGAGTAAAAGAAACCTTTTTCTAATTTGTGCAAAAGTGTCTTTTGTGCCAACAACAGCTTTGCACATGGGGCATGACACATTGTGAGTGTCACAGCTGACAGTCTGTTATTGATGTGAGTGAAAGCACTGTGTGTGCAAGTAATTTGCTTTAACAAATCAGGCCAGAGTCCGAGTCTTCCCTACCACACCAGCGCACACCAGCCACACTGGGGGGTGGGGGGCGAAGAGCCACCAGCTACAGGGCATCAGGGAGGATGAACAAACCCATCCCTGCAAAGAATCACGGATGGATCATAATTGATTTCCCTCACACCATGGTTACATTTTTGTCAAAATCTGGGTTGTAATCATAGGACTTATGCAAACATGTCAGATCAGAAAAAAAAGACTACCCATTTCAGATATCACCAAACACCCCTTTCGTACATCTGAGGAAAATAAAGTTGAGGGTTTTGGAAAGCCTCATGAATTACTTCCCTGTGTGCTGTACAAGCCTCTTTTTTCATGACAGCCACCACAGCAATGACGACCATCTAACTGAGTGCCAAGCACTCTGCTAGGTGCTTCCCTACAAGCTAGCTCATTTATAAGATTTTTTTTTTTAATGGTACTAGGGTTTAAACTCAGGGCCTATACCTTGAGCCACGCCACCAGCCCTTTTTTGTGATGGGTTGTTTTCTAGACAGGGTCTTGCAAAAAAATTTGCCTAGGCTGGCTTCAAACTGCAATCCTGATCTCCGCCTCCTGAGTAACTAGGATTATAGGTGTGAGCCGCCAGTGCCTGGCTCATTTACAAGATATGAGGGACTTGGGTATAAAATGTCTGCTTCACAGAGACTGGTGGAAGTGAAGGCCAGAACTGGTCACAAACCCCGATTTTCCTGTGCCCTTTCCATTTGGTCTTGCTGCCCTCAGGAACCAAACAAGCAAATCTTTTAAGACTTGAGATGGTGAGGGCAGAAGAGGCCTGGCTTGAGACTGCTGCAAGAGGTCATTTAAGAAGTAATCCAGCAGGGGCCTCCATACCTTTCTGTGCACATGCCTAGACCCCCAGCTCTGCTTGGGGCGAGGTCAGAGTGCCCAGGACAGGGGCTGCTCACGTGCGAATGGGGGAAAAAAGGGACGACTTGGCCCTCAGTCCCACCATTTCCTAGCAGCTTCTTTGCTGTTATTCTCCTGGGCCCCCAAAGGTGTCGCTAGTACCAGCAGTCACCTAAGAGGAGCCCCAAGCAACCAGCTTAAGCTGTGTTGGCTCCCACTTCCCTCTGTCTTAAGGAGACGAAGGATTTATTTTTCAATGGACACTTTCAGTTGCCTGAATTATTTTTAGAAAATGATTAATAAACTTTCCCAGTCCCTCATTTCCAAGTCAAAATTCCCTACTGTGGCGGTTCTCAACAATCCCTTTGTAAATATCTTTTATGGAAATATTTACCCAGCCCATTAACCAAAGCCATAGGATTTAAAAGATAAAACAGATCTGGGGTTTACACAATGCAGATTCTTTCTGGAAATTCTTAATAAAATTCAGATGTGCTAGGGAGGAGCCAAGTCTGTAACAACTGCCAAGATGTAGACATATCAGGTCAGCTCCAAGCTTGCCCTGAGTTGGGAGGAGCCTTGAGAGCCTCACACCTCCCGCTGGCTTGCACTGTGACCACCTGGCCTCTCTTCCAAGGTATTATCACCCAATTAGCATAATCTTCCTATAAGAAGTACTAATCACCTAAATTAGAAGAAGACAGAGCCTATGTCAATGGTTTCTGAAATTGTTAGCTGACTAGACTTGACCTACAATACGCTGAATTTTTTTCTACAAAAGATCCTTTTCAGGAGTAAACCTGAAAAAGAGTTTAAGTGTCCTTTACAGGACTGAATGGTGATGGATTTACCAACTTGGAAGCTGGGCGGCCTGTGGTTTGGGTCGATGGCATTATGACTAAGCCTTCTCTTTACGTGAGCATTTGAAAAGGAACATGTTTAGCCTCTGAAACTGAAATTCCTTCCTGCACTTGGCTAAACACGGAATAAAACTAAAGTACAATGTTTAAAGAGTTAGAATAAAGTACATGTTAGGCAGATGCACACAGAAAAACTGACCTCATCTATATAACATGTTCTTAAATCAAGCTATTAAAATGCCAAAAAGCAGTTCTCATGAATGAAATATTACTATTAGTTTCACAGATATTTATCATAAACCTCAAAAAAAAAAATTCAAAGTCAGGAGTAAGTGGAGGTCAGGAAACCAAAAAGAAAAATGGCTCATATTTTTGGTGCTAGATCACTATTAAAAACAGTCTCTGACAAATTATAGAATTACAACTTTTGACCCATTCTGCCTCAGAAAATATTTCTGACAAGCTGAAAACATCCCATTAAAATTAATTTTAAGTGGGAAGGGCTTGTGGGTATCAGTGGCAGCAGCTAGGATGGGCCACGGTGTGGGAGAAATAAAAATTAATTTTAAGATTAATTTTAGGAGGTGCTTCACATGGAATTCAGAACCACTTCCCAGTTTCCACACACTTGTTACTAAGCAAACTCTCAGCAAGTACATGTATCCACATCAGAGTGCTGGGGAGTTTGAGTTACAGGGTTTGCACCTGGACTGTGAAGGGTGTGACCTATGACTATCAGCTGCCCTCCATGGCTGTTTGATTCAGGCCACGACAATCTCAGATGAGGGCTCTGGCTTGTCTGCAGAGGCAGGGTCTTCTGACGTGCCCCTGGGGACAACCGTAATAATATCTGAGCAGTGGACCCAACCAAGAGAGGACACCTTACCTCTCACTGTTCTTCTTGCCACTGGAGGAACTGCTGGTTGAGCCTGTACGGTTCCGGCTTCCTTTGGAGTCCCCAGAGCTCTCCCTCCGGCCACCAGGTGAAACTCGTTCAGAAGAGCTGGTCCGCTTGATACTGCTGAAAGGGAGACACAGGTGGCATCCTTCACACCATGATTGCACTACACGGTCGAGTGTAAAACATACATAGGCTATCATGCTCCCACATGGATATTTAAAAAGACAGATTGGTTCTAAAATCCAAACTGCAAAGGTCAAAAAGCTTCTCACATCAGCAGTTGGGATCAATGCCTCTGCTTTTGCCACTGAGGCAGTTAGCACAGCTCAGAGTCACAGAGGAAACTGAACACTGAGGGGCTTAAAAGGACTCCATCCTGTCCTTGAGGGTGCTTCAGTCTGGACCAGTGCTGCTCAAGAAGAGTGACACTACCCCCAAGAAATATCTGGCAATGTTTGGAGGCATTTCTGGTCATCCCAATTCAGGGGAGGGGCTGCTATTGGCATGTGGTTGGGAAGAAGCCAGCGATGCTGCAACATCCCACAGTGCTCAGGACAGCTCTGAAACAAAGAATTATCCACCCCCAAAGACCAGTAGTGCTGATATCAAAGATCTCTGGCCTAAAGGTTCACTTGGAACAGTCACAAGTAGGATGCCTGGTAACAACAGACAACTCGCCACAGATAAAACACCTTTGTTTTGAGTTGGCACCTAATGCAAGCACCCAGTTGGTTCTGTAAAACCAGAGGGATTAGAGTGGTTGGAAGCCTGAAGGGGGAGGAAGGGAGACCTGGGAAGATCAAATGAAGGGTGTGATGTGTTGTAGTTACCCAGACAGAAGAGCCTGCTCTATACCCAGGAACCCCATAGATACAAAGCAGAGCCAGGGCATGGTGAAGACTGAGCGTCCCCCTCCCACAGCATGTAATGCACAGACAGTTGCGCCCTCCTAATGTTATAATATTTGGAGGCGGGGCCTTTGGAGGTAATTAGGGTGGAGTCTTCATGAATGTGGTTAGTGCCCTCATAACAGTGACCCCACAGAGCTCTCTCACCCTCTGTGCGCCGAGAGGACACAATGAGAACACAGTAGTCTGCAACCCAGAAGAGCGTCCTCACCAGAACTTGACTGTGCTGGTGCCTGACCTTGGCCTCCTAGCTCCCAAACCATGAGAAGACATTTCTGTTCCTTGTAAGTCAACAGATGTATATGGTCTATGGTACTGTATCATAGCAGCCCAAACTCACTAAAACAGAACATGCAATTGTATTTCAGGTGTCCCTGTAAATTTTTCTTATCTTCATTGTAGGCTATCCTTGACATCTTATTTCATTGTTTATACTTTGCAGAACTTCATAAAGAAGCTCCATACGGATTTTATTAAGGAAAGGATGAAATAAATGGATAATCGAATAAAGAAAGTTTCCCTGAATTCACACCTACTTAACTTTAAGAAAGAAGAGAGGAGGGACCAAGGGAAGGAAGGAGAGGGGGGAAAGGAAGGAGGGAGGGAGGGGGGTCCATTCTAGGGATGGGGTGGTGGAAAGAGGTGCAGTAATGGCTGGTCTGGCTGGGTGCAAGAAGCTGGAGCTGTGAGTGGGCACAAATAGGTCTGCAAGTCCTGAAATGGCTCAGATCAGGGCTGTCCATCTGGTGCCCAATGAAGGGGGTCACAGAGCCACGGATGTGGAGAAAGTCACCAAGTAAGACAGTGAGGAAGGAGAGAGGAGGGTGAGAAGAGCCCCCAGGAAAAGGGTTGAGAAGCTGCTGGGTATCAGAGGTAGCCGACTCCAGACAGCAATGTGGGCAGAGTCATGGCACTCTATGGAGGAGGAAGAAGGAAGCTGGGGCGTCGTGGGCACTACAGGGCACACACTTCATCATGGAGGAATGACAAAGAAGCAAGTCTCACAAAAGAGGGCTCAAGAGCTGAGGGACTGAAGACAGCAGGAGTCCTGCTGCGGAGCTGAGTTCCCATGTCTCATTTAATTCCCACGATTTAATTCCCGCACAGGTGGCCCTTGCTGATTGCCTGACACTGCTCCTTCCTCACCCTCCTGTCATTCTCTTTTCCTCCTCAGTCTGCTCCTTCCTCTGCCTGGCCTTCAGCTCTTTTTCTTTGTAGTTTCCAGTTCAGGTAATTACTTCTTGGTGTGCTTTTAAAGACTGCCTGGTATGCTGGCTTTCAAAAAATCACCTCACTCCCTGAGTGAGCAAATGTAAGCAAGATGACTGTGATTGTGATGATTTTATTGGAAGACACTTTCTGCATAGCCTTTTTGGTAACTGAGGAAGTCTTGCCTTCGCAGCACCAGAAACCTACAACTGGAATCTGCATGGGGAACCCAAAGGTCAGAGCCGGGCTTTTTAGGATGCTCAACTTGGGGACAAGAAAATTACACATCTTAGGACAACATGACATTTCTGAAACTGGGATTGCAGTCTAAAAATCATAGAAACTTTAGTGCCTGAAGTCCAAGATCTTCCAGTGATGAAAATCACAAGCTTATGTAGCCCTGCACGATCACACCCTGCCCAGGGAGATTCTGTAGCAGCAGCAAGCAGCCCAGAGAGTTGCCTCTACTGTGTCCTTGGGGGAGTTCATAGTAAGTTCATGGCAATTTAAAGAATTGTATGAAACACCCTTACAGAGCTGGAAAACCACGACTAGTAGTAGACTGTGGCAAACACTAACCAATTTTCTTTCTTTTTAAAATTTTTATTATCATATTATTGTATTGGGGTTACACGGTTACATTTACAAAAGCGCTTACAATGTATCTTAGTTAAATTCACCTCCTCTGTCATTTTCCTTTATCTTCCCTCCCCCCATTCTTAGAATAGTTTCAACAGGTCTCATTTTTCCATTTTCATACATGAGAACATAATAGTTCTCCTATATTCGCCCTCCTTCACCCTTTCCTTATACCTTCCCTCTCCCACTGCCACCCACCCCCAGGCAGGCCTTGTTACTAACCAATTTTCTAATGACTAACACTCAACTTGGTGCTTGCAACAGGTAACAGGGTGTGTCAGTGCTGGAAACAGCAGTAGCCACCATAGCTACCATGGACCAAGTACTCTGGATTTTACATGTATTATTTCATGTAAGCCTCACAGATCCCCCGGAAAAAAAAAAAAAAACAGCATTATCCTTGTTTTACAGAGGAAGAAACAAATTCAGGGATATGAAACAAATTGTCTGAGGTTCACCAAGAATCTGGGCTGATGGCTTCACCACAGACTCTCCCTATTGACCACATAACCACTTGCAGTTGATGAAACACCCAAGTGCACTGACTTTGAAGGACCCATTGGGCTTCTACAAAATCCAATTCATATCAATAATGAATACAGTTACATGACTATAAGTTACATGACTTAAGCCTTGCCACACACTAGGCCCTGAGTTAAAGGACAGAAGCAGCTAGGTTCCAAACCCGACCTGAGTTCCCTCACCTTGTGTTGATCTCTTCAGTCTGCCTGCACTGAAAGACTCACAGACCTGTTTATCTACATGTAAGAGCAAAATCCATACAAGTGCAATAATGTAAGTGTGGGAAAGTATTGTGAGAAGGCTCAGCAAATTGCAGGATGCACACATCAGAATAGAAAAACATCTTGGTTTGCATAAACAGACCTGGGTACAATCCATCACAGCTCTTTCAAGACATTTGCCATTCCCACATTTGCATCAAAATGTTAAACTTAAAAAAAAATCTTATTATTTTCCTGAATGTAGAAAAAAATAAGACACTTCCTTCTGAGAGCCAACAGCCCTTATGAATTAAAGAGGATTTACTAGGACACAAATGAAGGACAGAGAATAAAAGCTGAAAGACAAGACATTTGCAGCAACCAGGGCAGCCAGAGAGAGCAAGGCTGTCGACTCGCCACAGGAAGCCTCCTTTAATCACCAGCAGGGATATCAAAGAAGTTGTGTTCCCTCTGGACAGCAACTGAAAACAATGCTCTTTATTTGGGACACTGCAGAGGACTTGGCTGGCGAGACTCCGTGCTGAAGGCAGGGTAAGTGGTTTTGGTGCACAAATGCATAAACGTTTCCCGTATGTTCTCTATTCCCCGCACCCAGCCCCCAATCCTTCAAATTCTGAGGATAAAATGGTTCTTCACATTTCATTACATATGCCTCAAGAATTCTTGCCAATTTAAATTTCAGACATTATAAAATTTCTGCAGTGGAGACTGGTGACAATCTTTCTTCTTATGATCAGATAATAACTCTAAGCAGAAGAAGCTACAATCACGTCTTTGTCTCATCAGGTGATTTTGGAGAAACGGCTCTCCAAAAAGCTCCCAAACTTTTACAATCAGAACAGAAATTTGTCAGGTAGCTCTTATGCATGACCATAGATCTACTAATGACCCCATGTCATGACAGACAGGATGGCAAACACTAGATTGAAACAATTACTCAACAAATACTAATTATGCATTGGCCATGTACTGGGTGCTGTGTTGAGTGCCACTGAGTCCCTAGGGGAGAGGGACCAAGCTGGCTTTGTGCCCTGCAAATTATGAGATACCTAATTCTGACGGAAGGAGGTAACAAACTTCAATAATTAAATTAATTAATGCTCTTATTTATCACTGCCTAAAAACATACCTTTGTGGCAAAATACATGTCCTCTCCCAGGAAGGCTGGTGGTCTGAGAGGATCTTTTCCCTACCATATGAAGCCAAACAACTACCTTAGTGCAGGGATTGTGTGTCTTCTGATAAGGGATGGGTTCAACTGGTCTTCTGCTCTGCTTAACACTTACATTGCAATGAATCTGAATAACAAAGAAACATGAGGAATAGTTTTTTCAAGAATCCACTGAAGTCAGTTTGTTTCTGCTCCTCTAGTTGTGCACTTATCTTCACTGACTTCAGTGCAGTTGCAAACGCTGTATTTTAACAAGCACAACTATTTTTCCAAAGGGCAGTGGCTGTTTGTTTGGAAGCACTAGCTATTTTACCGTGCTATCTGGTACTTGGCACAGAGCACTTTTAAAATAATTCTGCTTGTACCAGTTTGGCTCTTCACGCTTGGAGCTCACAGCTATTGTAAAGCTCTGCTCCAAACTGAGAGATAGAGTGATTGTCTTTTTCC